AAAAAGCCAAAAACAAGAAGCTGCAAAACCTAGCTTTGAAAAACTGGCTTTTTTTCACATCTGTTTTACATAAAAGTTTACCAAACACTCTAATACTGCTTTTTTTTTTCAAAAGCACTTTTACAAAAAAGTTTACCAAACACTCTGCTGCTTTATTTCACAGCTGCTTATTCTCACAGCACAGCAGAAGCAGCTTTTTTTCAAAGCACAGCAATACCAAACCAGCCCTACAAATGAGGATTAAATCCATAAAAGCACCTACCTAACAACCTCTAAGCAACCAACAACCCCGAACCCACTTGAAAACCAAAAAAGAACCCAAAATTCGGCCGCACATCCAGATTCCAGAGCAATCAAAGGCACTAATTCTTCCAGAATTCAGAGTTTTTACAACATTATTCGTCGAATTAGATCCAACTCACAAATTATGAAATGCTTAAGCAGCAAATTAGTACGCAGATCAGATCTAAAAGTATAAGCCCAGACAATTAGAGACGAAGAAAGCACCTTGATTATTCGCCGAAGGTACTGAATGGGCATGGGGTTCGTCCGAGATGAAGAGGACGACGACCGCCCTCTCGACGTTGTCGGCAACATCTTCCTCTCTCTCTCTCTCTCCCCTATCTCTCTCTCCTGATTCCTCTGTGCTTCTTCGCTTGGAATTCTATGCACCTCCTCTTTGCGGATCTACAAAATCTCTGTACTTACCACCAGCTCTCTCTCTCTCTCCCCCTTCTCTTCGAAAGAGTTCAGAATTTTCAGATGGCAGGAAGCGAACGTAGAAACAACGACTACTTCAGTTTCCTTTGCGCTTACGACCCAAGTTTCGATCAATTCCCGCATTGGGCCGGACCTGCATTTTGAATTGTGAGGTTGGATTGTAATTTCTCTGTACTAAGATTCTCGGAGCAATAGGCAACTCAATCTCCTTAAATAAATAGTAACTGTTTATAATGAATAATAATTGTCTAAGTACATCTCCAGTCCTAAACTGAATAGTCCAAGCAATTCGTATTAAAATATTAGCATCTTTTGCTTTATAAAATAATAAAAGATAATTTTATTTTTAATTTCAGATAATAATAAAATATTGGTTTAAATATTTGAAAATATTGAAATGTAGTGTAAAGTGGAAGAACACATTTAGGTGTTTATAGAAAAAAAATTATAATTTTTAATATTTTTTATTATTTTTTATTGTTTTTTAATAATTTTTTAATAATTTAAATTATGGCTGACATCATGATGACGTTAGTCTTGCGTCACACAGACAGGACGCTAGGCAGGTGATTATTGCCCAACTTCTCCATCAGGCTCTCCTTGAACCCAATTGCTCGAAGGGGCTGAAGTGTTTTGGGGAGGGGGGAGTGGATTGGGTTGCCTTATCCCCCTAGGCAGTAAGCAACAATGGAGTTGCTCTGAAGGGATTGTTGGACGAGCAAACTAAAAGTGACTTTGATAAAAGAAAAAGGCTTAGTTTTTTGCTACGCTCCTTGGAACTCTAGTTTGATCTCATTTTGTCCTCTGTAACTCAAAAGTCATCGCTTTACCGTTTACTCCCTAAACTCAAAAATTTATTCCACTTTGACTTATGTACTATCTCTTCTTCCTAGAACTTATCGGTCGCCTCCTAAAACATATGTAGGACTCAACACATAATAAGATTATATCACATGTGCAATAAAGTTTATTATAAATCTTCATTATGCATTAACATTCAACAATCAGATAACATTAAGTTTAAAATAAATTGAAGAGATGTAAAAAAAATAATAAAAATAAAAAATAAAAAAAAAATAAATAAATAAAGAAAAGAAAAAAGGAAAAAAGATTAGCCTAACGCACCCAAATTAATATATCCAAGGCAATGGGGGGTCGAACTGAACAAGATTACCAACCCCAACAAACTCCTTACCACCCCCAGACTCAGATTCGAGCTTTGAATGCTTGAATATGTGGCGGATGAGAAGGAAACCAATCAGGCCATGGTTTTTCGACCATTTTCCAGTCACCTCTGGCTAGTTTATGGCCTCAAATTAGGCATATTCGTGATCAACTCCATAGCTTCATTTCCATATATTTTAGGGTTGTGGTTTTCATACATCTTTAACTACTTTTCCCACATCCCTCTCTATTTTTTAATACTTAATTGATATCCTACTATTTAATCTTCCATGTATACCCTTCCTACTTTTTTATGGTAATTAATGAAAGATTAAATAGGGAGGGGCATATATGGAAGATTAAGTAGTAGGATACTAATTAAGTATTAAAAAATATGGAAGGGTGTGGGAAAAGTAGTTAAGAGTGTGTGAAAATCACAACCCTATATTTTATGTGAACTTTGGTTGAAAAATGGCTCTGATATACTTCTGTGATTTTTCCAGGCAAAAAATTTAAATTTGGCGAGATTCCCTCCGGTGCACAGCAGCCTCAACAATTAGACTCACCAAAGAAGAAGGCAAAATATTTCATCAATCTTGATGGAATGTTCCTAATGACGTTAACAACGTCAACATATACCGCCAAACCAATGTAAATTATGTTAACTATAACCCTTCACATCACAGTTAACGTTATTGTTATTGTGATGGAATATTACGCCCGGCGGTGAAATATTACTCGATGAGGAAATATTCACTCCAGTGACAAAATATTCCATCTCCGGTGCATGTTTGCACACTCGCCTGACTTTGACCTACGCATAGCAGCGCGTGGCGGCTCCGATCGCCGCGTGGTGACACATCTTGTCACGTGACATCATGCCAATCACGTTCCAACCAGTTTTAATTTCCAAAACCAGCAAACAAAGGGAAAAAGTTAGGTTCTTTGCATTACTATTAAAGTATTAATCACTACGGTAATTTCTCATTTAAGAAAAACTTATGCCAAGGATAAGCTAGGCAAGCAACTATGACCCCACAATGTAATTGTGAGTGGATCTTTTCTTCAAAAGTATTATTATTATTATTATATTAGTTTTTGTACTTGTGCTTGTGTTTATTTGTGTGACATGTCATGTTGAACTTAGAAAATAATAATTACCTACACTTGGTTATTTTTTTATTATTTTGTGAGTATAAACTATGGCATGTATACACTTCTCATTTATCTACTCATTTTAAAATGTATGCATGGTGTCACTTTTAGTTGTACTGTGTAGGTCATGACTAGCTTTATGTGTATGTTCACATGCACCGTTTACATTCACTTTGGATCTAGAGTAGGTGCTAGCTTGACTCTAGTTTTGCATTAGGCAGCTAAGACTTGTATGTGAGCGTTTAGTGCCAGCTTCACGTGATTATAGTATTAGAATGTAAATTATACGCCCAGCCTATTTGTGTAGTAACTTTCTGCATGATTTGTGTGCTTACATGACCTGATGTGCAATGATAATCTGTTATCACTATTGCTTTTAATGTTTCGTACCCGTATTCTTTTATTACATCATCTATTGGGTACTATACAATATACTTTTGAATAATAAGTTAGTTTGGGAAACTATACTTGTTTTTCAACGAAGGGTTACAACTTTTACGAAAACAACGATTTTTACCAAACTTCATTTTTTGGTCCACTCACCTTTGTTTTCGCCCCTCCACAACTTAGTGATGGTACTCTTGCGGCGACAAGGATTATTGGCAACGCTGACATTCACTGATGTTAACATAGGAAGTGTTTTCTTCATGTACAAACATTCCTCACTTTACTGTTTGACCACTTATGCTTTGACATCACATGTATAATAAGGGTTCCTCCCGCTATTGCCGACTCATTATTAGTTAAATTAATTCTAGACCTTTAGGTTTTAATTTATTCGCACTTTTTCATATCACATTCACTTATGCCTTCATTACTTTTCAAGTGTTGACCAACACACCTTGAGTTGGATGTCCAGGTGGACTTTCCGAGTCGGAGTGTGTTAGTTTGATATCAAAGCATAGGTTTAGGCAGTCTTGCAATCATCACACACGTGATATTATGCGATAGTCATTCTTGGTGTCAAATGTAGAACTATGCCACCTTGCCGAGGATGTACCATGCTAGCTTTTCCTGATTTGGGCATCTCGGAGCGGCCATCGCTGAGGCCGTCCAAACGGCTTTCTGCCATTCTCGGAAGAATGCTTTGGATATCACCACTGGTCTTTAAGCGAGAATACTTCTATGACATGGAGATCATGAACTAGCTGAAGCTTGGTTCGAACATGTCGAGAAGACGTTTTGTGCGATGTAGAGGTAGGGAAACTTCTCGATTGATCAATAGATCGCGACGACAGTATGGTTCCTACAAAGAAAATTGGTGAAAGTATAAGAATGAACAAATCTCGAAAGACGAAAAAGAAAATTGGATATATTCAAGTGGCGGTCTGTATGGAGTTCTTGCTTCCGAAGTACAAGACCCTGAAGAAAGACAAATTCATGGACCTAAAGTAAAACAAATATCGATAGTTAAGTACCAACGGAAGTTCGTTGTCTTGTCTCGTTACTATATCACCATCACTACTAACCCATTCAAGATACCCTATAAGTCTAAGAAAGGGCCCCGCAAGTGGCTTTGATTCACACCATGTACCTAAATTTGTATACTCTTAAAAAATATTTAAAAAATTTAATTAACTACACATAAATTTAGATGCATTCTTTGAAATCTTATTCAATTCTATTTTGACCACGCCACAATTTCAAAATGAGAAATGCTAAGCTTTCACTTAATCTTGATTAATTTTATTTAAATTTAAAAAGTAATATTTAATGTGAAAATTAACTAAATGACACGTGGCAAAATGATTAAGTGCAGAAATTACTAAATGCCACAATTTCGAGTAATTTTTAGGTGTGCCGGGAACACCATGCCACGTGGTGTTCCCTCACACATAAAAATTCAAATTTTGAATATACTTCAATTTTTTATTTCAATAAATAAAAAAATTTGAATTTTTATGTGTGAGGGAACACCACGTGGCATGGTGTTCCCGGCACATCTAAAAATTTCTCCACAATTTCATATGTTGTGAAGAAAAATCCTCCCTAAATTAAACCCCAAAATTACGACACTGTTTCCGCCATTAGGGTTCTTCTAGTCTCAGAATCCCCCAAATTCCTATACTAAACTCCACACCTCCGAATCCTGAAGTAGGGCTTCTCTTGCACGACATGTTGTTGGGCAGACCCAAAGACGGGGACATGCAACTGGTGGCCGGGCCGGAGAGGAAACAAGCCCAGGGGCCTGACAGGAAACTAATGCTATCCTCTAGGCCACCGACTGCAGCTGGTTCGACGGCGCTTGTGGAGTATACGCCTCCTGTGTTCAAGGAGGAGGAAGATGACCTCAAGATCAAGCTCCGGAGGATTCTCAAAAATTTCCCGGTTCGCGTCAGTGACACCTCCGGTAGCTCCGCCGATTCGGCTCTGGCGACTTCCAACAGGTATGATATGCGGATGCATTATTACAATGGTGACCTTGATTTTCCTTGTGATTGTAATTATTGGATATTGATGCTTATTTGAGTAAATTACTGTATAAATTGGAGTAGATTGAGAGAGGATATAGGGCTTGTGTTCGGTTGTCTTTAGAAGTTAGGGTATTCTGAACTTAGATAGCTGGAGCTAGAACTAGGGGTAGGCACGGATTGGGCCGGATCCAAATTTGGAAGAACCGGACTGGAACCGTATGAAAATGAAATGGGCCGGGGCAGGACGGATCGTCAAATTTTCAAAACTGGAACCAGAACTAACCCGGCCTGTTTCTTACAGATCCTATGGCTCCCCGTGTAAAGCTTTTCTGCAATTCGATAAGGTATATACATATGCACACAATCTGCTTCCCACAAAAAATCCAGCATTTAGCATTTCTCATGCCCCAACCAAAATCCCCAAATAGAACAAATTAATAAAATAAAATAAAATTCAAATACAATTTCGAATTCATCAAAAAATAAAATAAAACTGAATCCCTAATTAAGCTAAATCCCCAACATTTTGATGAATTTTTCAAGCAAATTAACATTCCTAAATCCCAAAATTCGAATTCAAGATTAAACTGAAATTAGATACCGAGAAGAAGAGAAGTAGGAGCCTGGACTACTGAAATTTGAAGCAGCAGAAAGAGGAGAAGAAGAAGGCGGCAGCGGAGGACTTACAGGAGGAGAAGAAGAGGCAACCGCCTACGGATGCGCGAGGCAACAAATTGCGAGATCTGAGCAACTTCAGCGAGAGCTCAAGGGCGGTGCAGTTGAAAGTGCGTTCGTCTTCGGAGAGAACCTGTGGAAGTTAGAGGATAATATAGAACCAAGGATGCTGAATGCACTAATGGAATTATAGAAAGGGGAAACGGTCCGGGTCGGGGAACCTCTTTTCAGAGATTTGGGATTCGCCCCGCCCTGCCGATTATATGGACCTGTCCCGCCCGCCCCATTTTGAGTTTACAAAATTTGTAACCGTCCCGAACCGGCTGAACCCACCCCGCCCCGTGGGTCCTAGACGCCTGTTTGCCCACCCCTAGCTAGGACATGAGTGGTACAGTAATTAGAGGCTGCTGCCTTCGGTTTGATTCTTCACAAAATTACGAATAATCAAATTTGAATTGACTTGTTGGGCTGATATGCCCATAGCAAGAGTTTGGTCACTTACCATTAGCAGAAAAACAAAATTGGAATTCAATTTCGATAGCGTGGTATATGAGCTTGCCGGGTATTAGGGATTTTCAATTTTGGGATTGAGCAAGCCTTTCTTTATGATAGTCAGACTGAATGCTAGATTGTTAGTATGTTGAGGGGGTTATATTGCATGAGCTTCGTCGAATTGTGTATGCGTACACTAGGGCCAACTTTGTACCATAAAAGTAGAAGAATGTGTTGATAAGAGTCATGCACGGTAACTGTGTTGTGGCCGTCTTTTTAGTTTGAGTTTTGAAGAGATTTTGCCAAGAAGTAAAGCAATTTTTCCTCTTTAGTGTTATATTGGAGTTGGTGGGAACACCGAACACAGAATGGATATGGAGTATGGTGGCTCTCTTATACGTGGTATGTATGTTGGCAGTAGGCATGAATGATTGTTTGTCATTTTTGCATGTGGACCGCAATACAACTTCTAATCCTTCAGTTAGCAGAATTGTTTTTCTTATGGATGAATGAATCTCTGCCCTTTTCTCTGCATTGAATTAGTGTTTTCTGCTTGAACTTGGGGATCATTTATGATTAAACAATGAAGTATTCTTTGAAAGGCTGTAGCTTGTTATTATACGCGTAGGGATAGAGAAACCTTCGATCTTGAGCAATGCAATAGAATGCAGTGTTGTCTACTTTCAAGTTTAAACTTTGGGACAAGAGATGCCCGGGATTGTCTTGTTTGTCTTGCTGCAATGAAATAGCGTCTTTCTCAACGAAAAAGAAAGTGCCCGGATTTGTACGCACTGCAATAGAATGTAGCCAGGTGCAAGCGGAAACTGCTTTCTTCTCTATGATTTTGAGTTTGAGTTTGATGTTGAATCAGTAGTACCGATTAGATAAGTATCTGAAGTTCGGAAAAAATTAATTTTCTTTTCATACACCTGCTTTCGTGACATTGGAATATCTGATTGGTTATGATTTGTTGGACTCATTAAGCTGGCAGCTAAATTTCATGTAAACTTATTTCTCACCCCAAGTTGTACATCCACAGTATCAGCAAATGAGACGGAAAGAGCAAGACAGGATTGCTAGGATGGACGCGGACTATCAGAGAAGGAACGAAGAGGCCGAATTCAATATGAGAAGGGAGGAAAGACTGGGAGAGGCTGAAGAAAAGACAGCAAAAAAGCGTTTGAAACGCCAAAAGAAAAACCAGAGAAAAAAGGAGAAGAAGATGAAAACAAATTCAGGTGGGGAAGAGAAACAGAAAGAAGAGTCTTCGGATGATGAGGGGAATTCTGATGATCAAACTGAACAAGCTTGTACGAAGTTTTAATTCTTGATGCATCGGCTCAAAGCTTGGTATCCGTGTGCATTGCAAAGTAAAGGAGCAAAGCATGCACCAACGTAATTGGGATTTCATTTTTCTCAAGTCTAGAATTGCCGTGTTTGCCGCCGAAATTCGATTGTATGTATTCCAAGATGTAACATCCCAAGGGATTAGAACAAATTAAATTTTGATTTAGTTTAACTATTTTCTTGATATAAAACTGCAATGTTGAACAAAAACGATGTGGTTTACGCAATGTTTAAATTTTCTTTGATACGATCGATATTTTCATGGAAATATTCGAAAAATCAGAGAAAGATATGGAAATTGAGGATGAAGTCTAAAACTTCATCTTATATCGGAGAAACTCTTAGTTTAGGCTAAAATCGACATATATCGTTGATATCTCTGACACATCTGTTAAATATCGGAGAAACTCTTATATTTCGTCCAAACCAATGTTTGATAATCCCTAAGGTTTCATTTCAATATCCATCATTCTACTGAAAACAACCGATATCGATATCAATATTTGATATATCCGTTGATATTTCTACAAATTTGCATATCAATATTTTCACTGATACTGATATTTAAAACACCGGGTCTACATCTTGGTCAAGTGCTCTATTCTCTTCTAGAATGGCATGTAGCATTTGTTTGCTTGCTTGCAATTGCATCATTCGTGTTAAATTTGGCGGCTGATCAACATCAACGTAACCCAGTGAAGTTTCAAGTTTCAACTAATGCACTACAAGGCGATAGATCTAGGAAGGAAACATAAACCACAAGGTTCTATCCTCAACTAATTTTTTTATAAAGTCCTTAATCATTTCGTTTTTAATTTTTATTTTTGTAGTTAAATATATGGGGAAATGAGCAATAAATTATGGGATCGTAGGGTATAAAAAATGGCGTCGGAATGATAGCCAAAGAGATGCGCAAGAAATGCATATGATATGGTGAATGAAACAAAAAACTAAAACTACATAACAATTTCAAATCGTTGTTTCTCAAGTTTTTGTTTCATATATTCTCCTTCATTCTTCACTAGTTCATTCACCTTTCTTTATTCGTCATTCTGCCCGTATACCTTCATTCTATCTTTTAGCCAAAATCCTCAGAGCTAAAACCGTTAAGAATTTGTATTTTAAATATATATATATATATATATATATTAACAAAATAATATTTCAAACTACTATAATCAAATAATTACAAATATAAGAGATCATACTTAAATACAAAGAAAAAAGTATACTGTTTCGACCAACTAACATGATCTATAACGTACTTTAAACCAATCAAGCGTATTTAGAATACCATTTTTTACGATACGTAGGTGATATTAGTGTTGAGAGTTAGAACACACGTTGCCCTCAACAAAATTGGTTAGGAGGAGGATATTTATTTACTTAAGATTTAATTTGTAAAGGACAATTAAATTGAAGTGTATTATTTTTAGCGAAAACTAATGAAAAATATTTGAAAACCTTGAGTTTTAACGATACGGAAAAAATAAAGAGTAAAGTGAATAGTACCATGATTGATTTTTTAATGTAAAAATATGGTTTTTCGTTAAAGTGAACATTACTAGGAGTTTTTCATTAAAGTTCTATTTTTTTATGGGAGGGCAGGTAATAAAACACCCAAATTAGCAATTTTGGGCTTTTGTCTTAAATTAGGAATGGATTCCAAATTTGTATTTCACACAACATGTTTTAAGTTTGATTCTTATCAAAGATAAACTGCACGATAATCAAAAAAATGCTATAATGCAATCTTTCGGGCCCTTGAAATGGTAAACTACCGTATCAAAAGCCAGGTTCCTTTTTATTTAAAAACAAAAAACAAAAAAAGTAAATGAAGTCATTGCCATTTCTTCTTCTTCTTCTTAAAACCATTTCCATTCATTTTTGTAATTTCCATCTCCCTCCCTATCAAGTACCTCTCTCCTTCCATCTCTCTCCTCTCTGAAACCCTAAATCTCCATGGGAGAATCTATGCCTCCTCGTCGCATTTCCGTTCACCAAACTCTCGGAGGTGGCCCTGGTACTCTCTCTTTCTCTCTCTACACATATCCCCGTGTGTGTGTATGCACACACATAATTGCACGGATGCTGTTGATTTGTAAATCCATAGAATTATATTCGCGATTCCGATTTGGTATGAATTGATTCTACTTCCATTGGCGATGACTAACCATAATCTTGTTTAAACATTCCGTAGATTTGGATTATGGAATAATCATTACATTGTTCTTGATCTTAATACAACCTAATTGACGTTGTGGGTTGATTTAACTTGTGATTAATATTGTTAATTTTGGGGTTTTTGGTAGTTGCCGATGTGCTGCTGTGGAAGAAATGGAGTGGAGGAGTTTTACTGCTGACCTCTACGACGGCGTCGTGGTTGCTGTTTGAGCGAGCTGGTTACAATCTCTTGTCATTTGTGGCCAATGTTCTACTGCTTCTTGTGGTCATCCTTTTCCTCTGGGCCAAATCTGCTTCTCTTCTCAACAGGTAACCCTCTAATTTTTGGCCATTTTTCGCTGCGTTTCTTGTGTACTTTCTATTGATCTTGTTATCGCACTGAGAATTTCCGGGTTCATTTAGCTTAGATCAAACGTGTATTTATTAGGAGTATGTTATTTTGGATTATTGAACTAGTTTTTCCTGAATACGTCATGGAGAAAGTAACCAAGAACGCAAGATCAGTTGAATTAATTTTTTTTGGGAACGATGGGTGGTGATTTATACTGTTCTGAGGATTGATTTTAGTTTGAGGCGATTTTAATGAAAAACGGGGTTGCTGTCTTTCAGACCTTTGCCTCCTCTCCCTGATATGGAAATCTCTGAGGCCAATGTTGTGAAGGCTGCTGATGCACTGCATGCTGGGATTAATCGTGTACTGTCTATTGCACGAGACATTGCTATTGGGAGAAATTGGAAGCTCTTTCTTCAGGTTAGGCGTAGTTTATTTTTCCCCCTAGGTTTATGGTTTCAAGGAGGTGGTTTTTATGGATTACATAGAATAGAACATTATGAATTTTACTGATTGGAAATTTTGGTTTGCTTCTCTAGGTTGCTTTCTGCTTGTGGCTAGCTTCTTATGTTGGAAGTTTCTTCAACTTCCTAACGCTTTTCTACATTGGTAAGCTCTTTACTGCACATTGTATCTTTATATGTTTAGTTTAGGTGCATGCTTGAAAGATTTACAACATTTATTTACGGACATTTCTTTAACTATTATCCAGGGGTTCTTCTAAGTCTTTCAGTGCCCGTGTTGTATGATAAGTATCAGGACCACATTGATGATAAGCTGCATGTAGCAAACAGAGTAATACAAACACAGTACAGGAAAATTGATGATAGCATCCTAAAGAAAATTCCTTTGGGTTCAAACAAGGAGAAGAAGCTACAGTAGGTAAGTGTGATCTCTTTCTCTCCCGAGACACTCTTCTATATATCTATTCATATTATTTCTTCTTCCCCATTGTTGGCAGTTTGCGTATCAAGGCATTAGGGGAATTAATTCAGGCTATTTTTGTTATGCTGAATCTATGTACGATGTTGGTTTGAAAAATTTGCTAGGTTTTGTTTTTTTATGATGGACATGTTGAAGCATGTGATCAGTGTTTTAAGGTAAAGCATCTTGTGAACTATTCAAGTGTGTGAAATCTCTTGCATCATTATGCTTTACGATGTTCATTATTTGTACTGAGAATGAAGCTGTAATTTTGCAAACCCAGTTTTAATTTATGGTATTTGGTAGGAATTTTTAAGCGAAACATACTAGTAATGAAACAGAGTCATATAGTGGTGTGCTACCTTTCACTTTCCGGATGTTACTCCCAAACTTCCAAATCTGGGGAAACAGAAAAGGAAGGCCAGAACTTTGAATGGCTAGAGAGGAATGGAGGACCATCTTTAGAATGGTTGGCACAAGTAGGTATAACTGATTTCTGGGTATGGGTCTGTGGTGTCTTACGGATTATGATGGGATGATTGAGCAATCTCAACAGCTTCTTTTCACAGACAAAGGAAAAGATTGAAATCCTTCCTATGTTCTGTGTCTGTTTCGAGAAACTGTCCTGTCTTTACTGCAATTTTTTTGTGTTATGAAAGTCTGTAAGACAAAAGGGCAGTGTTTACACCAACCCTGGTGCAATTAAATTCCTTAAAGGAATAAATAAATGTAATAAAAAAACAAAAAAGAAGGGAAAAGATGCAAGGATTGCGATGTAAACATCGCAATTAATAAATTCATTTGCACCTGACATTTAACCTGGTAACTCCCACTAAAATTAGCCCTTTCTTCCAGTGAAAAATAAACAGTATTTCCATTTCAGTCAATCTAATATTCAGCTTTCGTACAACAACAACAACAACAAAGCCTTTTCCCACTAAGTGGGGTTGGTTATATGAATAGTAGAACGCCATTGTGCTCGGTTCTATGTCATGTCTTCCATTAGATCCAACTACTCGGAGTCTTTTCTTAGAGTCTCTTCCAAAGTCTTCCTCTACCCCTTCGGCCCTGGACCTCTATCCCACAATCGCGTCTTCTAATCGAAGCGTCAGTAGGCCTTCGTTTCACATGTCCAAACCAATGTAATCGATTTTATTTGATCTTTCCTTCAATTTCGGCTACTCCTACTTTACCAGATATCCTCATTTCTAATCTTATCCTTTCTTATGTGCCCACACATTGAATGGAGCATTCTCATCTTTGCTACACCCATTTTATGTATGTGTTGATACTTCACCGCCCAACATTCCGTGCCATAAAGCATTGCCAGCCTTATTGTTGTCCTGTCAAATCTTCCCTTGAGCTTTAGTGGCATACGGCAGTCACACAACACGCCTGATGCCCTCTTCCACTTAATCCATCCAGCTTGTATTCTATGGTTGAGGTCTCCATCCAACTCTCTGTTCTTTTGCAAGATAGATCGTAGGTAGCGAAAGCGGTCGCTCTTTGGTACTTCCTGATCTCAAATCCTCACCCTTAACTCATTTGAGCCTCCGTTTGCACTGAACTTGCACTCCATATACTCTATCTTGGCTTAGGAGAAGACCTTTAGATTCCAACACTTCTCTTCAAACGCCTACCTGTCATTGTCATTCTGGCTCTGAAGAAGAAAACTCACTTGGATTAGTTTAGTGTACTGTAGTAATTTTCCGGACTATTAACTGTTTTCTGTTTTCACTTTGATGAGTAAAGCGAAACTCATTTTGAAGTATGAACGCTGTTGTTCAAGAGAATACGATGTTCTTACAGATTGTATTGATTTAACAATGACTTTTCTTTGATAATTCTCAGTGGATACATAAAATTGAACAAGTTTTGGCGTCTTCGAGTTCAATTTTGATGTACTTTGCTTGCTATTTTGTCTCTCAAAGTATTCATATGATATTGCCTTTAAGGTATTTGGGGGCAACAAAATCAGTTTCATTTAAATCTTCTTGAATATAATTTCTTACATATTGCGTTAAACCATTATTCATAATGTACACCAGGATATATGAAATTCGCCAATTTGTCTAATTTCATATGACATTGGCCCTCTGAAGTGTCTTTTTTTTGTTGTTTTTCTTTGAATGGACTACTCATTTGATTTCTTGCACCGTCTCTCTGTGTACACTGGTTTCATTTTTTTGTTGATTCTGTTGATTTAGTTGCTGCTGATTTTCTCTAAAACACATCTACGTATGGTGCAGGGTATTATGGAGCTCCGGAAAGTGTGATAACAACCTTATACAAGGCTTTCAACGTACGAAGTAGTGTACTTCGGTTATCTTTTTATTGGCATGCTGCGGCTATACATATTGACAGTGAAACAGCATCATTGACAAGACTTGGGTGGATCCCGTTAGTGTCTGCATTTGAGTTTCAGCGTTACATTGTTTTTGGCTTTGGATTGTATAATCTTGTTAGGTTTTTGGTGAATAGTTATTGGATCATTGGATCTTGGTGGTTAAAACTTTGTGTTCATCTCCATGGGATGAAAGAGAGAAACTTAATCCTTCTAATGAAATATAGAGTGTTTTGGTTTGCCATCCTTCTATGTTTCATCGTTGTATGTTGTAATTTTCCTCTTAATTCTGTCAGTTTGTTAGCCTAGAAACTTTTCGTGCATTATTTTTTGCTGGGTGCTACTTACAGCAACAAAGTCTTATCCCACTAAATGAGGTTGGCTGTACGAATCTTAGAACGTCATTACACTTGTTTTGTGCAAGTTTTCGGTTAGTTCCAAATACTCTATTTTTTCTTGAAAGTCTTTTTTGAAGTCTTTCTAGTTTTTTTTTTTCTACCCATTTTGTCCTAACTTTATGTCTCACAATCGCATTTTCTAACTAAAGTATCTATAGATCTTTGTTTTACATGTCCAAACCATTTTAATCGATTTTCTCATCTTCAATTACGCCCACCCCTCCTACTTTACATCTAATATCCTTGTTCTTAATCTAGTCATTGCTCGTGTCTCTACACATCTAACGAAGTATTCTCATATCTGCTATACTCATTTTTTGATCATGGTGATGCTTGATCGCCCAACATTCCATACCGTATTGGATAGAGCAAATCTCATTTTTGTGTTAGAAGTTCCAAGTATAATACAATTGGAAAGAGGCAGCAAAGCCTACGAATGTAATACAGAAACGCATTTGTCTTATAACATCGTAAAGAAGCAAAAACACTTAAAAAAGAATCACGGCTTCAATGCTTTGGAAAAAGGTAGGGCAGTATTTATGCAAATCTGGGAATGGGAATGCCTTCAGAAGGTGGCAACGTTACTGAGCGCAACAGCTCTAGGGAGAAGAGAAGTCCCAGGAAGTGAGAAAGGATAGTGTTTGCCGATGCCTGCAACGAAAACGCCAAACAAATGAACAGAAATGTCAGCCTTCTCCCAATTGCAAATTCCTTGTTCGAAATCATGCCCAAAAACTAAAAGGTAACTATACTCTACAGAGTTTGAGGCATACTGATGACCCGTTAGAACAAGGAACCTGAAAGTACACTCTGCAAGACTACGGGTATTATCTAACCTAATGTTTCAGAACAGAACGAAAAGTAAAGTAAGATATATGAATCTACCTGCACCAAGAATACATCCAAGGCAAGAACAGGACTGTAACCTGGAGTGAGACCCTGATATGGATTTGCAGAGGAAGTAAGAGCCTTAGCAACCAACAGTCCTACCGTTGCTTGCATGCCAAGAACAGCAGCACCCATACCCAAAATGTTCAGAACAATGCCATTCTTTAAGCTTTTTATAACATCAGCGCGTGGAGGAGCCTGTATATTATAAACAGTGAAACACAGATGTAATAGGTAAAAGGTGCCATTGGAGAACAAAGTCAGATAGTTATCGGTTATGAAAACATCTTTCAAATGTGGGTAGAATTTGAGCCAATTTCAACAAGAAACCCAATAACGGGATGATAATGATGGACGAAAATAAAGAACAATGAAAGCAGATGAAGCGCTCACAGGCAATTATAGTTACAAGGATTCAAGTTCATTGAAGTGCAAATGTAAGTACAATTTATTTGGGTGACAGTGACAGACGGACAACTCCATTGTTATCTTATTCTGTTATCGAAGAGTAAATCAATAGATTTTATACTTTCAGCCTATTCAAGGTGGCAACTGATATTTCAGTTCATTCGGGATAATGGGCATCGGATGAACATATCATTATCAGCATGCCACGGATGATGGAACTTCACAATTCACATCATGCACAAAGTCCATGCAACTTAGCATTTGTCCGAAAACAGTATTACCGCCTTTATGTAACAAATTTCACAAAGCACATACAATTCAATCACAAACACAAATAGCTTTCCCAAAATTGACAATTCCACAATACCTTTGCAGGGTCACTTGCAGTTCTTCGAAGCTTATCCGAGAGGCGAATGTACCCAAATGACCAAAACACAGAGATGAATCCCGCCACAATCCCACCGGCAGTGGCATAAAAAGTAGGTGGTGACGAAACCTTGCCGGTTATAACAACCGAAAACGAAAGAATCACGGCCGCCACAACAGTGCTGACCAGCTGCCCCCAAAACCCTAAACTGCCCAACCTCTTGAAATACCTTGCTGTGCTCTCTAACCTTTTGGCCACCTACACACCACAAACCACCTAAAGCACTTCACTTTTCAATCAAATCAACAATGCAATGCAAATTTTGAAATTGAAAAATCTATCGTTTCGAAATTGGGTCAATTCAGTAAAAATATCAGTAATTTCACTTCATGGTCTTACATTTTCCCACATTTTCTCGTAAACCAAACAGAAAATAGAATAAATTAGGCAAAGTAGAAGAAGGAGAACCTGAAGGAGCTTGGCCTTTTCAGTTTCGTCGTTTGGGGAGGTGAAGTTCTGAGAATTTGGAGGGGAAGATGCCCTGATGGTGCTGATGGAGAGCTTTGGTCCTCTGTGGGTGGGAGCAGCATACGAAGAAGAAAACGAAGAAGAGAGAGTGAGGCTGGGCACGTGGCGGTCGGAGATTGATCGAAGAGGAACGTGATACACTAAGGGCCGAGTCGTGACAGCTGTAGGTGGCGCCGCCGTGAAGTAGGCGGCGCGTGTCACCGGCGATAGTAGAGTTTGCATAATAAAACGGTCAGCAGAAGGAGAGAGAGGGGGAGGGAGAGTGTGGGAACTGTATTTTTGCTGTCGTACTGAGTTTGGGGAGCTGATGAGGGCATGTTTTTGGGCCCCTAAACATTTGACATCCTATGAAATTTCGGTCATAAGCCCAAAAGGTGATAAATATGGAACCGGGTCGAATTTTGGGTCATCAACCAAGACTAGATAGAGCTGGTTGGATACTGCCTGGATTGGATCGGTTAGGACCTCAAATAACACATTTGAAGCATGAGTTTGAATTCCGTAGGTGGCTAATCTAGTTCACATTAGACCCTAGACCACTGATTGGTTTGGTTCGGGCAGTTTGATTGGTATGGCAACAAGAAAATTAGTTCAAGAGGAGTTGAAGATGTGCTATGTTTATTTGGGTTAAATAATATCATTTAGAGCTTGGTTAACCAATTTGAGAAAGCTTCATATGGTGATTTTCCACCCTAAAGCAATCGATCTTATCAAATATAGATAGAATCGAAGTCGAAGAAATTTGAGTTAAAACAAAGTTTTCTGCAAAAGGTGACTTGGTTTTGTGTTCTAACAAACTTCACTACATGAAAACTGGTCATAAGACATGAAGGCAAAAACGTCCCTGTTGCTAAAAAATAACGTTAGATTTGTAATGATCGTTTTCAACTATGTATGTTGTGAACTAGGAAACATGAGCATAATATTAAGATTTAAGAAGCCTGGTTGGGCATGGCTTTCTAGCAATGACGTATTGGTACTATATCTACGAGGACAAGGAGTGAGATAAAGACATAGGAATATGGTCACGTCAAAATTTGCATGTTGCAAGTAGAATATGCGTTAGGAAAATCTAACCTTCAAAGTTTGCACATGTTAACTCGTAAGTAATTGGTAGAACTACGTAGTATTGTTAATGGTCATGGCTAAACCCTAGTGTTTTTCACCTTTGATTTTCTAAAACGTTTGTTTTGATTATTCTCTTTCATTTAATTTCTCACCAATTTCATTACTTTTAATTTCTTGCAATCTTTTATTTATTTTATGATCTCAACTTTCTATATTTTGTATTGCATAGTTGATTAAGAATTGGTTTAGTGAGACGTTATTATCCACAGCATAAATTGTGTTAGCAAAAATTTGTCGTCTTTGGTCTTAACGAATTAGGATTAAGGTTTTGCCTACACATGGCGACATCCTATTGGCCAAGGTGTGTCATCCGTTGGATGAATGAGTAAAGAATATTCCCAAGATATTAATAGGAGATAATATCTTGGGATGATAATGGAAGCATCCATAATTGATTGTGATAGGGATTCCTTACTTGATGGAGTTGATCTTCTATTGAGAATGTATTAAAGATAGGATTTAGTAATTAATCCTACCATTAATGCTTTGACTTTTCCATGCCACGAGCAGGGGAGCTATGAGCAGTCTCAGTTAGTTGCTTGGACCTCTAAGGATGCTGAGCTGCACGTGGGAGTATTTGAGAGCTCTGCCTATTTAGTGAGGACATTTTTGTTTTTCTTGAGGAAAAATCCACATATCGTCTTTTGGATTTTTGAGATTATATTTTGCTCAACATAAATAATGAGGGGGCGGACTCCATTAATCAAAGCAACCACACCTAATCACTTGTCTTCTCCTGTAAAGAAATATGGTGCCCTCCAAATCCTATGTTCTAATTAACATGTTTAATTAACCTCTCTAGTCCCCACACACCCAGAACTGTAGTGGTTAATACTTATGCGCATGGTTGAAAGGGATTGAATGGCTTATAAAACACATATACATTCTCTATGCAGCTTTTCTGAGTAGAACTTAGTTCTATATGTAATTTTTTTGAAATCTATGATAATCTTGAAATCTAATCTACCAAAGAACAAGTTTAGCTCAGCAATCATATCTTGAGAAGGAGACAAAACCTTGAATAAGGCAAGGGCGGAGTTAGAATTTTTTCCTTGGGTGGGCTAATTGAAAATAGTACTATAAAATCATATGTTTATATTTTGCTTATATAAACTTATATAATAATCAATATAAAAGAACAACAATATAATATAAACTATTCTCAAAATCATAACCCTAACCGATAAATTCATGGACCATATAAATAATTAACCTACTAATTAAATCAAGAATAAGTAAATATAGAGATTAAGAAACTACCAAGGGTGACATTTATTGGCAAATCGCAACGGAAATTAAGGAATTGCGGAGATAAGGATTTAATTGTGGATTTAAAGAAATTATTTTTCTTTTCTTGAGTAAGAAGCACAGAGGCTAAATTGCATAGGGTAAATGGCCTTTTTCTTTAAAGAATATGATAAAAAGGGACTGGAGATAGAACAAATTTATAATTTTTAGCATAAAATGTATTATTTATTCCCTATCCTCTATAAAATATACATTAAATAATAATCTCTATTGAAATTGAGTAAGCTATAAACATGATTTTACAAAAGAATAGTTCTATTTACAAACCCATTTTTAATTCCAACACAATCTTATTAATTTTCTGACACACCCCAACCGAGATCAGGGCATGCTGGCCGTCACGTGGAAGTGACGTAGCCATGTGCACAGTGCGGAAGCTAAAAACAGTAATATAAAAGTGCGAATAATTTAAAAACTAGCAAATATAGGGTGATAGAATACGTGCTAGCGTAATTAAGACACTGAATTCAGAGCCTAAGGCCTACAGCAGTCCAAAAGAAACAATACAACAAAAGTACACCCGAAGGTGACCCTACGTAGGTGAGGATCTGTCAGAATGCCGGGACGTCCTCCGGGAAAACCACCAAACCCGCTAAGCTACTAGAACCTGGAGGGGCGCAAAAACAAAAGCGTGAGTGGGCAAAAACAAAGCTCTTTGAAAACCATTTAGTAAAATACATTCTAACCCCTCGCCGTAAAACCTGTATACTTCCCAGAAAATAAACATATGTACGTAGGTATAAATATGCCAAGTATGCTCAAGGGTATGCCAACATGCTCAAAGCCTCGTAATAACATGCAAGTGCTCAGGTATGTATATCACATCAATATTATAATAATCTGGCAGCCGGAGTCCCCTAAGTGACCTGTACGGCTGAATCTAGAGCTCAAATCACAACTCAATCACTAAACCTGCCCACGAGTCGGAACCACTTATAGTGGTCTGTACGACAGGCCTGGGTGTAATACATATAAACGCTCTAGTGCTACGATCACGTGAAGGCTGTGCGAATAATCGCAGGTCACCTACGAGTCGGAACCACCTATAGTGGTCTGTACTACAGGACTGTGCACCTAACTTGGATTCAAGCTGAGCGTGTGGTGCGGGAGGTGAACAACACGTGAAGGACTGTGCCCTACTCTGGGCGGGAGCACTAACACTGGGGGTGCAGGTTATGAGCTCTCTAAGCATCTCTAATCGTTATTTAATGCAATCGTTGAATAATGCTTACCTGGCTACTTACCTACGCCTCCACAGCACCAACATATATAATGAAATCATAAATGGGTATGTACTTAAACGTATATGCCACTAATCATGCATAACCATCAATCGTATAAAAATAATGGCGTAAAACGAAGCATTTATACTAATTTCTGGGAAATAACATGTATATAGGTATATACGGAAAACAAAAGCCCACTCACTGGTATGTAGAAGGGTCGTAGCCCCCCTGCCTCGAATGTGCACGCTCGTCCTCGGGATACGTGTCACCTATATGCGAATTAACTAAAAAAACGTTAACTTTAAAGTACATAACCGTCCGTTCAAAATAACTTCTCATACATTGCTCAAAATGGACAAATGAATATACCAACGTGATCTACACAACCTCACGATCACAACCATATTTTTAAAATAATTTTTGGACCCCGCACGCGCCCCCACGCGCCAACACAGACACGGACCCACGCGCCCCCACGCGCGGCCACTTGCCATGCACGCTGACGGCGTCAAGTGACGCCGTCAGGAATATTCCCTGGAACTGACGGAATATTCCGTTAACCCTGACTGACGCCGTTAACGTCCGTTAGGAATATTCCGTTAAACCTAACGGAATATTCCCCTGTCTTCTCCGATCAACCCTCGCCGGACTCCGGCCATCGGAAAACTGGGGAAACTTAAAACCGTGTTTTCTCACTCGTTTTTCAACCATTTATCATGATTCTTGAACCAAATTAAAGCCCTAGACTAGTAGAATCACGTTAGACCACTTTTAAAGCCTAAAAATTACGTGATCATACCTGTCTCACAATCCAAAACTCGGCCAATTTCGACCACGGTGATCCCGACGTCCAAAATCGTCCAACGAAGTGCTCCGAGACTCCTCGTGACACCACCAAGCTGCCTACGAGCTTAGAAATCCCAAAAACTCAATGAATAACCTTTGCATGAATAGTACTCAAATCGGCCATTTTCTAAACGACGTGAAAACAAAGGATTTCTCAACTGTAAAGGGTATGGCTGTGCTCACCTTGACCTCACGAGTTCAATGGTGTAGTTGGTTTCTACGATCTGTGAGGATTTGGTGGTTTGTGGGTTTGTCCGTACGTTTTCAGAGGGAAGAAGGAGGAATGGAGCTCGGGGGAGAGAGAGAGAGAGACAGGGAAGAGACAGAGGGAAAGAAAGGGTGACAGTGTCTCAGAGTGTGTGTGTGTGTGTGTGTGTGGCCCAACACATGCCACACCACACAAAACAGTCCACAACGTGACAAAAAAACGAACTAGGGGCAAAGTCGTAAATTCACACGTGCGTTTCGATATTTCCGGGACGGGATGTCACATTTTCTGTCAGTGATCATCTCCAACTCATTCGATTCGAACAACCGAAAATTGAGAGGGGTGTGTGAGAAGTAAAAATAAGTGCATAGATAGCACTACTCTGACAAAAAACCTCCCTGGGCTACAACCCACCTTAGCCTTGTGGGTGGCTACACGATTGGAGTAAGGATGTCCAATCATGTCATTTGCAAGATCTTACAAAAATATTTGACTTTATGTATTTTGGTCTCACCTAACTTCATGTTTATTCCAAAGT